TGGGAAGATCCCAGACAGATTCACCGCCCCAACTGTCTGATTTAACTGTATCTTTTTTATTTGATTTCTTTTTTTCATTTTTTTTAGATGATGACATTGAGCTCTGTAAGGAAGATTGAGTTGACTGAGTACTGGTTTTAGAAGGTGTTGGTTTTCTTGGAATTAATATTTTATCGTTAGGTTCTGTTTCAACAGGCAGCATTGTAAATGTCTCAGCATCAATTGGCCAGGTCATGCGAGTATGTGTATGCTCGTGACTGAATGAGCGGACAACTTTGCTGTCGTACGATGGTCTGTTCGAAACAAGGAGATCATTCGAAACAGAAGCTATCTGTTTAGCTTCTGGGTAACTGATGTTTCTTTCTGTTTTAATTTTGATAATATTTTTTTCTTTAAGGTAAACAGGGCAGTCCCTAGATGATGAAAAATGGGATTCACCACAGTTTACGCATTTAGAAGATTCAGAGCTACAAGTTGTTCCCTCGTGTCCTTCGTCAGAACACTTGAAGCATCTCTGCGTACCATGACATTGTTTGCTTCCATGACCAAACTTTTGACAAGTGAAGCATCGAATTGGGTTAGGGATAAACCTGTCAACTCTGATTCCGAAGCAACCTAAAGTAATAGATGGAGGAGGAGTTGGAGTTCTAAATGTCAAAAGATATGTATTTAATTTGATTATATTTCCATTCTTTTTTATTTGAAATCTAACAACATCAGTTACACCTTGGCTTGAAAGTTCCTCACAGATTTCTTCCACGGTAAGGTCACCAAGGTATTGACTTCTGTCTCGAATGATCCCCTTACAGCTGTTCAAACTGTTGTGAGGAGAGGCAGAAACAGGAAAGTTTGTAATTGTTGTCAGTGTAAGCAAATTTGTTGATTGACTTTTGTTGGAACATTCAACCAACAAATTGCCTGATCTCATTTTTGAAACTTTTTTTACAGTACCAGCAACGCTTTGAATTTGTTTGTGAATCACAAAGAGAGATATTTTGGAAATTGGTTTTTCATCTGTTCCTTTTATTACAATAAATCTGGGCCAACTGTCATCTTCCTGACAGGGCACTGAATCATCACATTTTCTTTTTTTATGTATTAAAGCTGATTTACAGGGTTGGTTTTGTTGTGCCATAGGAAATGAGAAAGATTCACCATTCTTGTCATCCACCCACCTCGGAGTGCCTACAAGGGCGATGCTGTGTTTCCGTGGCGAGCCGGGGTCAAGTGCTAATGCTGAAAACGAGCTCCAAGTATAACATGTATAACGTAGCTGGTCCCCAAAATTAGCACCCAAGATCCACTGCGGAAAGCACCAGATGTTCCAAGAATGGTATACTCAAGCAGAGCGTATCCATCAAGCGAAATAGAAAGCGTACCACTTGATTGACCCATGAGCCATCGCCTTCTTCAGTTATCCGAAATATAAATAGCTTTATTTAAAACACATGTGTATATCATGAAAATTGTTACAAGAAAGCTTATTGTTGAGGATGAACTGAAGGGCTCGACATGACCAGCCGATTGATCGAACCGGGTCCATCCGACCTCCCGTTTAGATGATATTGGAGCCAAAGCAGCTTATTGAACTATAGTATTGTCCGTCCGGGTATTTTCTGACCGTAAGGAGTCTGGCTACAGCCCTCATCCGCAAGGATCTCGTCAACCACCGACACGGGTAGCAACCCACGGCCAACGGGTTGGAGAGCCTATTTTATTCAAAACATCGGGCAACTCGTACGATGTTCGGATCACTTTAGTCTGGTCTCTACCCTTCGACCTGTCCAGCATGGGTAACCCTACCAGGAGACGAATCTCCAACTGGCATAGCTCTTGGGGTCACTGAGACACGCAAGCCCCCCGACCACGGCAAGGATAGCGATCCACCGGGGGGGGGGGGGGGGGGGGGGGGGGGGGGGGGTTTAATCATGGAAGTATTATATTGACAGGAATAAAAACAACGCCAGTTTAAAGGTTTTATCTGCGATACCGCCTATCTTCCGATTACTCGTCAATTATTTTACGATATGGAATGGTAATTGATTCTCGGCATGTGATCAATCAAATCGCTGACACTTTTCGGTCATTTTCGTGTTCACTGAAAATTACGAACAGACCGGTTGATGTCGTTTTTACGTACGAAGTAACCCGAATAGTTCACCCGTAACATTCCACTGCTGTACGCTGCCAAATAGAGTCATTCGTTCAATGTTGGTTTTAGTCTAATTTTCCTATTTATGTCTTTTTCGATTGTGATAGTTTAAGCCGACAGTTTTCACCAAAAAAAAAATAGGAAATTGGTGAAAAGGGTGGATCATTTTCAATTTTAATACTTAAAGATAGTTAAGAAGCCATTTCTGAAAGTTACGAAGATGATTGTACAAAAAATATGTTCCGATCCCCTTTTCTTAAATACGAATAATCAAAGTCTTTCGTGTATACCTGTCAATTAAAATATTCACAATTTTAAACGTTTTTATTCTTTAATTTGTGCATGAACTAATTCTTATAAAATAAATTTGCAGTTAGTAAGATAGCGTCAAGCTCATTTTGTTTGGTTGTTGTTCTTTTTGCTGTAATGTATTATATTAATACTTGTATATTCAATAGCAAACATAGGTCGATACGTCATAGCTGGGTAATGAATATTCATATTTTAGTCACGTGACCCAGCCTCATACAAACAATCTATGGCGTCTACACAATCTTATCAAAAAGTTACTTTGACTTCTGACGATGTACCGGGAGCAAAAATTAATTTCGATGATCTTGACAACTACGGGAATGTTCAGCTCAAACGCTGGCTTGAATGCGGAGGGTTGAAAACCAGTTGAAACAAATCTGACCTCGTTCAAAGGTGAGAAAACATCGAACAACGCCCACTTCCTTTGTGTCGTCCAACTAAATGTGACATTATTGTACAGGTAAATTGTCACTTGTAATTCGATTGGGGTTTAATCGTAAAAGGCGTAACGGGATATTTAAATCGTATTACCTGAAATTATTATATTTAAATAATTATTTATATTTATAAATAAGGGACTTTTAAGTACGATAAGCCTTTGATTTTTATCAATCTCGTTTTCTATTTACTTTCTGTTGGTTTTTCTGTTCTACACTTGCCGTAAATATATAAATATTAGAAAATATGAAAATACACGTATGTGCATTTAAAAATAAAAGTGAAGAAGTCATTAGAAATATTGACAAACGTTTCTGTGTTGGTAAATACGGCGGCGTCCTGTTTAAGCATAGTAGTTTATTTATCTCACGTTTAAGTAAAGAGTCTGTGACCCAGGTCTGTCATAAACATGTTAATTTGTATTTTTCAGATGTAAGGACGCAGTTAAAGCTGGAAAGTCAGAAGAAATTGACATTGCTATTGATGGTGGGAAATGGTGTGATCTGAAAGCAGCTAAAACGAAAAAGGACCCAAGTCTCTCCTTACAGCTACTGATACCCCCAGTCCTAGGTTGGAAACCATTTCCTTCAAGACAAATACCAGCAAACTTCAATTACGGTCACATATACCATTATCTTCTGGAAAGTGTTGTGATGGAAGGTGAAAATGGCCAAACTGAAGACACTGACCTAGGCCATTTGACATCAAAGCCACTTACCAAACGCCAACAGTATGTCAAGTGTGGTAGTGTGAGTAACATAATGGATAATGAGCGTAACCATCATTACTTTGTTAAGGCAAAAGTTGCAGCATCTATGCGTAATGAAGAAAGGATAGTGCAAGTAACACTATCCTGTCTAAGTGGAGCTGTTAAAGATGCTAGCTGTACATGTCCTGAGTCAGCTCTTGGACGTTGCAATCATGTGGCAGCAGTCTTACTCACAGTAGATAAACACTGTAAGGAGTTTGGACATGACCAACTAGCATGTACTAGTAAACAATGTGAGTGGGGAAAGGGACAAAAAAACAAAACAAATCCAGGAAAAGTTACAGATGCTTCATATACATCTTACAAACCAAAACATCTGAGGCTTACAGAGTTTGACCCTAGACCTACAGATTTAAGAAAAGCCAATGATGTTAACATGAACAGTTTTTCGAACAATTTAAAGTACGATTGTGTTAGTACAGGAAAAACTTCAATGTGCCACACACTAATCAAGTACACATATGCTGATTATGAAATTTCTCCTGAACGTAGAGGAATTTTAAAGTCTCAAGCTTGGGATTTTTTTAATAACATAAAACAAGAATGTTGCTTATCTGAAAAAAGATGTTTAATGATACCCAACACAGAATCACAATCAGAATCAATCGAGTGGAAAGCATCCCGTTGGTTCAGAATAACTGCATCCACAGCTAAAAAGGCAAATACATTAGTGAACTTGCTGAAATCACCTCTAACAGATGCAAGTCTGAGAAAATTTCAGGCATACATCAGCAGTACCGTTTAGAATATTTCGTCATTTATGTATAAATCACCAGACATGCTATATGGAATTGAAAATGAAGATAAAGCCAGAGATGACTATTGTAAACTTATGGCAACAAAGGTTTCTGACTTTAAGGTTGAAAAGACTGGATTCTGGGTATGTAAAATGTGGCCTGAATTAGGATGCAGCCAAGTTGGTCTCGTAACAGATCCATCAGAAACCCAAAAGCATGGATTGCTTGAGATTAAATGTTTGAAAATCTTCCGCAAAATAGCTCCATCTGACCTTTTCAAGAGCATTGAGAAGAATCACATTTCCAAAAAGGACCTATACAGTGCATGTTTTGGGATACACACAACTGACAATACCTATCTGGAGCTTAAGACAACAAACATGTACTATTATCAAATCCAATTTCAGTTAGCGATAATGGGCCTAAATTGATGTGATTTTGTCATGTGGTCGCCAATAGGAACACCTAATGTTGAGAGGATAAGACGTGATGAACAGCTTTTTAGGGACATGATAGGAAATGTTACATCATTATGGCACCAAGTCATTGCACCTGAAATATTTGAAATGCGTGTGCCAAGAAAATTGAAACCAATTATTTTAGATTTATAAAATATAAGTACATTGTATATATATGTGTTATGTGTACACGTCTTAACGTTATATAAATCAAACAAGCCGGTTCATTAAATGGTTATATTAATTTTTTGTTACTATATTAATCTTAGTACATGTACATGTACTGATTTTCTCAATAAAAAAACAGGAAAAATCCTTCTTTGATAATGATGTAAATTGTTACTATTACATGTAGCTCTTAACAAATTGATGAAAGTATACATGTGTTCATTGATTTTCACTTTGAGAGGTTCTGATGAAAATTTATTCATAAAATCACTTCTAAAATATTATAGTCTTACAAACATGACAAATGTGCATAATATTAAACCACGAATACAATTGTTTTATCAGTTTAAAAATGTTTTTTATCATTCATACAACAAAGTTCATTGTCATAAATAAGAAGATGTGGTATAATTGGGAATGAGACAACTCTCAACCAGAGACTAGCATAGAAAACAGCGAGAAGTTAACAAATAAGTCTATACATAAAAGGTCACCATACAGCCTTCAACAATGAGCGAAACCCATACCATATAGTCAGTAGTATGTACATGTACATCACTCATTCCTGTTACTTGACAAGTGGTTCTTGAAACCAAGCAGCATGCTACAAAAACCATTTGGTCTGATATTTGTGTTAGTGATAATGGAATATTCCCACTCAGTTATTTAATTTTTTTTACTCTTTCAATCACTCTTTCTACATGTATTCTCGCTTTAGCAATACGACGGGTCTGCAACTCTTCCTGAGCAGTAAATTTAGACCTTTTCCCAAGAAAAGGCGGAATGTTAAGGATTGCTTGTCTTGCCATTAGCAAATCTTCTATCACAAAGCCTCGATCGGCCAGGACAAGATCACCTGGATTAATGTATTCCAAAAAGCCACATTTTTCAACAATTGCTCTATCACTTATAGATCCTTCATATAAATTAGACACATAAACTATTGCAAGATTTGGGGCTACTCCTATAAGACATTTATATGTATGATGACTTTTATATGAGGAATACAAATTTCCTTGACGCCGAAAGTCTCTTGGCATTTGAACAAAAAATTCTGTACAATCAATTGTGCATCGTATGTTTTTGAAACATCTGAAAACACGTGGCATATACTCTTTAAAGTGCTGACGTTCTGGGAACATAATATTTCTATAGTCGTTAAAATGGCAATATAAAAACTGAATCCATGTTGTAAATATCACGCTTACTGTTGAAGATGAAAGTCGAAAGAAGTGTGACATGACATCTAGATTAAATCCTCTTTTCAAGCGTACCAATGTTAGAAATAGTTCTTCTTTTGGCTCTAGTTTACGATTTCCTTTTTCCGCATTTTCCCTTGTTTTTTTGCCATCCCAGTATGTCAGTTTATGTAGACTTTCCCGTTGGTTTTCCCGTTTGAATGGTTTTACACTAGTACTTTTTTGGGGCCCTTTATAGCTTACTGTTCGGTGTGAGCCAAGGCTCCGTGTTGAAGACCGTACTGTGACCTATAATGGTTTACTTTTATAAATTTTTACTTGGATGGAGAGTTGTCTAATTGGCACTCATACCACATCTTTTTACCAAGAAATTCAAATAATGTCATAAATTGATTATATTGTAGTCCTGTAAATAATTTCATTCTTACATCATCACTTTTTAAACCTTCTAATGACAGCATCGCATCAGAAGATGCATTTTTATTTTCCTGATTTTGTTCTACTTTCATTTTGTTTTTTAATACCATGTTTTCAATCTTTGCGTTTAGTATTTCTTTTCCATAAACAGTTTGAACTTCCTTGTTATGTTGAATGACTGATTCAGTTTGTACAGTTTTCTCTTGATATGTTTCACATTGAGCCGGTGTAGACTGTAAAAAAAAACAACAACAAAAACTATTAATAAATAAAAATATATTTCTAATATTCAAGACGAAACTCACACTCGAATTATTAATGCAGTTGTTTCAAATATTTCAACAACACAAAACAAATAACACTTGCATGATATAGTGCATGAAAATATTCAAATATATAATATTGTTAAGCAGATACATGTACCCTTAGTGCCCCCCCCCCCTTTTTTTTCCTTCTTGTCTTTATCTAATATAAAGACAGTTAATAACAATTTTATCTTACCGTCATTGATTCAGTACAATTCTTGTCAATACTTTGATCTGATACAGTGTATTCGGGCAACTCAAGAAGACTTTCAGCTGCCGCAGTCACATCTTTCCTTAAGATTTTTATATGTTGTTTTCTTGGTGTGGGAGCTTTTCTTTTCCTCTTAAAGCGGTCAATCTGTAATAGTTTAAGTTAGGATAAAAAATTGTATAATCTTGCATGCATTAAAAGTATCTTAAAGGATTAACTAAGAAAACTTTTCTACAGTGATGAACAACTGAAAGCGACGAAGCTAGAAATGGAAAAGTGTTTTGATATTTGTGATTTTACTACCCCCTCCCTGCCTTTTCCTTATCATGTGTGATATACTTGTGCATAAATATTTAACTTTTTTTTTCTATACATTAAATTAATCAGGTATTAATAAAAATTTTAAAAAAAGTATTTATTTACAAGTTCTCAAGTATATTGGCAAATCAATGTTGTGAAATTACTCTAATAATTAATAGTATGTTAAGTTACCAATCAGGATACAATTTACACAAAAATACAAAAGAAGTCACATTGTACATGTTGTACACTATCATGACTTGTAAAGGTTAAAAGGTAAACAATAAAATGCACATACCTGTTCCTCATTGTGCAACAGTGCAGGCAATGGGTCCGGATGAAGTTCAGTTGGTCCTTTACAACCAACGAAGTGTTTACTACACATGTATGTACACCGTTTGATCTTGTCCACATTAAAATCCTCCTTGGGTCTCCCACATGCCTTAATCCAACGTTCACATTTCTCCCGTTGCGTGATAGGCTTGGGAAAAGGAATGAAAAACACATCATTCATGTCATCACGATGTCTATATCTTGTGTCACTATTACATGTCTCGTAACAACAATGCTTCACACCTTCAGACTTATGTTTTACCTGAGCAACTTCCATTTAATTTACGTTAAAATATCAACATCATACATACGCCATGTTAACAATGTTGTATGACATCCGGGCATTTACTGATTGACCTGATTAGAGATCAAGATAAGAAATTTATTTTTAGTACAGCCGATCTTTGCTATTGTAAACACTTTTTTTAAATAGATATGAATTTAACATGTTTTACGAACTTATTATCCTGATTTTAGATGTCCAGTTTCAATAATGTAATCGATGACATTTATTGCAAATACATAAATCTAAAATACTTGAAAATAAATATACTTTTATAAATCTCGATAAACTTGGCACATTTCAACAGTAAAATATTCTATGTCTACAATTGTCTACATTATTTTGTTAAACATCATGTGAAACCTGATCGCTTCATCGTTATTACCTGTTTTACTCGTGCTCCGCTTTCAATCGGAAAATACTTTTAGGTCAGTTTAAAACAAACAGTAAAAAGCAAAAAAATGCAAAAATAAATACAATTTTCAATGTTAAACTGTTGCAGTTTAAACAATTCTCGTCCGTTTTTCAAGTTTTTTTTACATCATTCAATTTCTTTCTGAAGGTGCTTCATATTTACCGGCTCGATAAAATCACGTGGCTGATAAGAAATTCCAGATGCCATTTTACAACCGTTTTTTTCTTATTTTGCAATTTAGACAAAACAATCTTAAAAAGGGTGTTTTATAGCATATTTGGTATTTTTTATATTTAAGCTTGAATGTTCGCGTTTTTAATAACCTAATTAGTTCAAACCTTGTAAATAAACTTTTTGAACCGACTGAAGAAGCCTATACAGTACTCATCTCCTTTTATTCACAATTCAGTGATATGGTTAATCCATGCACTTTTATTACTTTATTTATTTATTAATTCATATGAAAATAGACTGGTCGATATAAACAAGGGAGCCAGATCTTGAGCAACATTGATATTGCGTCTTCATCTCTGCAGCGACAGATAACTGACGGTAATGATGTTATTCCAAAATTAAGAATGCCTGCAATCGCATACCGTAATCGCTGTCAGCATTGAGGTTAATTTCCTAGGGAACCCTACATCAGATTAAACTCTACCCTTACCGTTCAGGAGTTTATCTAAGCTCTCGGCAAATACAAAATAATTATGCCAAAAAGCCTATCCAGTAAGACACGCCGAACCAGATTCCTACGAAGAAGATTTTATTGACATAAGCAACCTCAACGGCTCTCAATATTACGATTATCATGAAATGTTTTCCGACAAAGCGTGAAATCTACTTAGAGAACATAAAGTTAAAGTAGATAAGAGTAAACATGGTCGTGACTTATTCACCCTCGTAGCGGCAAGGATTCAAATCAATGAATGTAAATTAAGCCACATTTGCGATCACACTACCGAATGTTGTTCACTACAGTTGAAAAACAAAATAATCAAGACATTAATTGTTACAGAAATGTTGATCGTAGCGATAAGTACGGCCGATCAAAATATTTTCAATACGGTAAAGAGATTTGAAACAATTTTAATAGCAAAAGAGGGTATGCAAAACGCATGTTTACATGAGAAATTTACATGCATCTAGTCACACAGGTGTCAACAAAATTAATCAGTTGGAATTTGAGTGAATTAGTTTGTCGTTGTTAGCAAAAGCCAATCAGCAGATTTGCAGACAGTGAAAACCATTGCACACCATCATCATAATAGTTTGAACAGTAGTAAAGGAATCATTTGTGACATATGTCAATATCTGGCTGTCCTTACCGTGGAAGAAAATTGTTTCAAACTTTTTATCCGTGTCATTAGGATGCAATTCTATAGAAACAATTTCATAATATGTAAAACTACACTTCTATTATGCTGAATGTAACAGCATCAATCCAAGCCATGTGTTAATCGGGTAACATCCAAACATTTCTAAGAAATAAAGCTCCCAATTTGGTGAAGCCTTGCTTCCAAAGATGGGAAGAAGCTGCTAATGTTCCTTTCGGTGATGTCGACAATATAGAAAATCATTTGCCATGATACGTACACTAGGACCAGCTACATTCTTCCTAACACTATCTTATGCTAAAACTCAATCGACCCATCTTCTACGAATTCTTGCAAAGTAAGTTGATGAAAAGGACTGTTCTGATGAAGAACTTCAAAATTTAACCTGGTCAGAAAAAAAGTCGTCTTATACAATCTAATCCCGTTTCATGTGCAACACTCTTTGGTCATTCCCTTCAGTCTTTTATGACAGATTTTATTCTATCAGATCTCCATTTATCGGAAATATTATTGATTGGTTTTAAAGAATAGAATTCCAGCAGAGAGGATCACCACATGTTCATATGATGATCTGGTGTGATGATGCGCCAACATTAAATGACAACAGCAATGAAGAAATTTGCAAATACATTGAAAAATCTATTACTTGTTCTATCCAAAATGCTGATGATAGTCTCACTACTTAAGTAAAATTATAACATGAACACAGTCAAACCTGTATAAAAAAATAGAGTGTAGATTTGGCTTCCCAAAACCACCAATGCAACAAACAATTATTCTTCACCCATTAGAAGACACTGGAAACATTAAAGGGAAAGCATAAACATAATTGGAACAAAATACATGACACGCTTGTTGCAATGAATGATGGAGAGGACATTTCCTTTCAAGAATTTTTAGTAAAGGTAGCCCTGAAAGAACCAGACTACATTTTAGCTGTTCGATCATCCATTGGAGCACCAAACGATTTCCTAAAGCGATCTTTACTGGAAATTAGAATAAATAGTTACAGTGCTGCATATCTGAAGGCATGGAGAGCAAACATGAACCTAAGGACCAAAATCAATGGAAAACCTTTTATTGGCTGAATTTGCATCATAATATGAAAGAGATACATCTACCTACATTTCACGTGCAAAATCATTGTGTAGAAATACAAAAGATGATTATCTTCCTGAAATAAACAGCAAGTAGATGATGATATCACAGACAATGAAACCACCCTATCAACTTCTACCCACAGGGGACGGCGTAAACCACAAATAATAAGGCAGTCCATTTAAACCCAGACAAGGACATTGAAAACTACTACAAAGAACTCCTAATGCTTTATTCCCAATGGAGAAATGAGGATTCAGACATTTTATGAAGATTTTCATCATTCACTGCAAGATTTCAAGAGTTATGAAAAAAAAATTGTGATAAAACGGCAACAATTTGAACCCTTCCATATAGCAGTTAGGATTGCAGACGACTTATTATTAAACCAGCCAGAATTTGAAGAAGGGTGGGATGGTATTGCACCAAATACATAGCACAGGGAACAACAAGATGCGGCACAAAAAAAAACCTACTTTAGGGAGACCTATTTACAGAATTTTAAAAAGTCGAGAAACATCAGAAAAGAAATTTTGAAGATAAAGATAAGGAAACTACATTACTTCTATGATACTACACTGAAAAAAACATGTCAAACAGCTCTATTTATTCCGCGTTTTCCTCTGGTGATGACTTGAGAATGAGAATACGCAAATTAAAAGACCTCAGTCTCAAGGCGTCCATATTGATGAACTTGTTTCAAAAATAACAATGCATGTATGATTATGTGTAGAGGCTATGAGGGTTGCATCAGAAGGAAACACTCCAATCAAGCTACAGACTGAGGTGAGGTCTTTAAGTTTAGCTAACGTGATGATGGCAGAGTGCCAAGGATGTTTCAAACAATTTAAATTTGATACAAGTACCAATGCCCCTGTTTCGAAACGTTTTGACGTCAACGTACGTCACTGGCAAAGGCCAATCACATTTAAACGAACTCGTGACCTCTTTCAATTCACCTGGTCTGTCTCAGCCTACCTTTACATCGATTGAAACTGACATTGGCAAATGATGGCATAGGAAAAATAATTCCTAGGCCCTGTACCCTCACTATTCAATCTGAAAATGAAACACATAATATACCATCAGCAGAAATGCTGCACTTTATAAACAGTGAACTTCAATTGGAGGTATCTGCTCTATAAGATACTACCAAAGCACAGGCCAAAAAAAATATTTAACATCTTTCAGAGATGAAGAATCAAAAGAACTATTTCAAGGCCTATCCAGGGAAAATTTCACGGTTCAAGGGCTTGATTTCACCATAGCACAAGCAGAACCATTACAAAGGGAAAACAGGAAAAACAATCGACATAACTTTATTTGGTATTCCCTTTGAATTAAACCTGAATACATTAGAAATAAGCTGCAGAAATATGTCGACATTGCAGACATAAGGTAAACACTTTCAAAAATTTCCCAGATATCGAAAGTAGTGGCAAATAGCATACCACGAAAAATGTATATCAAAGGGCAACAAATATGTACCCGATATGAAGGCCAACCTCAGGGGGATTGATTGGTTGATTGTTGTTTGCTTTACGCCGCATTAGCACAGAAAGGCTATATCGCGGCGAGAGCTAATTCGAATATTATAACAATTTAAGGTATATTTTTAAAATCAGACAAAAGGTCTTTCAATAAACTAAAATTCTAGACTAAAGCAAATTGATTATTTACAAATAAAAATCAACACTAAGATAACGTGATAAAAATTAAAATCGTTTTAAATATAACAACATTTTTATATTTTATAATATATTCCAATTTCTTTTAAGAATGAAACAATATTTGTAAATGGAATATTATTAAATAAATCATACATAGTATTGACATTGAAATGCTTCTTCCGAATATCAGCAAAGTCAATACAATTGATTAAAACATGTTTAATAGTATACTTGCAGTTACAAGGTATACATTGTGGTTCTACTTCATTTTTTAAAAGATATTCGTGTGTTATTCTAGTATGACCAATACGACATCTACAAATAACACACTGATCTTTTCTGCACATAAAATTATTGAAAGGTTTACATAAATTAGGTTTAATTTCATGTAATTTATTACCATCTTTTTTACTCCATTCATTTTTCAATATATTAAAAACATATTCTCTAATATTAGATTTAAAATCGGTATATGGTATATCACAGTTAGATAAAGGGTCACCCAGGGCATTCTTTGCCTCAAGGT